CAAATGTAGAATAGAGAAAGCAAGATCTGCATTTCAAAAAATGGCTAAGTTATTCAAATGTCATGATTTATCAATGCCCATAAAAATCAGGTTACTACGATGTATCTATATCCTATACTGTTGTACGGAGTTGAGTCATGGATTCTCACAGATCCCACCTGCAAGGAAATTGAGGCTTTTGAAATGTGGCTTTATCGTCGCATCCTGAAGATATCGTATACCGACCACGTTACTAATGAGGGTGTTCTGTTGAGAATGAAAAAAGAAAAAGAGCTGTTAACCACAATAAAAACAGCCAAAATCGAATACCTCGGTCACATCATGAGGAACAGCGAAAGATATGGACTGCTGCAACTAATCTTGCAGGGAAAAGTAGAAGGAAAACTGGGACCAGGAAGGCGAAGGATTTCCTGGCTGAAAAATCTACGAACGTGGTTCAACACAACAATCACAAATCTTTTCAGAGCAGCAGTGTGCAAAGTGCAGATTGCCATGATGGTCGCCAACATCCGAAACGGATAGGCACTACAAGAAGAAAAAGAAATTTATCATAATTATAGTATTGATTTGATATATTTTGTATCAAATATTTCTCATCAGCATTCTACTTATTTTCCAAATCTATACCATCTGAATTATTTCTTAAATTATTTAAAATTGATAGTTATATTACTTAATCAAGAGGGAAGCAAAGTGCGCTGTAGCTACTGCTAAGGAAAGATCACTTGCATAGCTGTAGAAAGAGGTGAAAACACACGAGAGAATGAAAAGGTTATACAGCATTTCTAAAGCAAGGGACAAGTAATCAAACGAATTGACCCACGTGCTGCAGATGAAGAGTGCGAATCGAAGAGTGTTAAAAACCGATGGTGAAATAAAGCAAATATGGTATGAGTACTTTAGTAAGTTGCTAAAGAAAAAATACCAGAGAAGTGAAAGAGGATACAGAATCCCAAATAAGAATGTAATACAGTGGATAGCGAGAGATGAATTTGTCGAGGCGTAACATAGGATAAAGAATAGTAAGGCAGTAGGACTTGATGGAATACTTCCCAGTGGAGGTTGGGAAGGCTCTAGGAGAAGTTGTGTAAGAACTATAGAGGGATAAAGTTAATGCCGCATACAATGAAAATTCGGGAGATAATTGAAGGGTATATGGTATGAGTACTTTAGTAAGTTGCTAAAGGAAGAATACCAGAGGAATGAAAGAGGATATAGAATCCCAAATAAGAATGTAATACAGGGGATAGCGAGAGATGAATTTGTCGAGGCGTAACATAGGATAAAGAATAGTAAGGCAGTAGGACTTGATGGAATACTTTCCAGTGGAGGTTGGGAATGCTCTAGGAGAAGTTGTGTAAGAACTATAGAGGGATAAGGTTAATGCCGCACACAATAAAAATTCGGGAGAAAACTGAAGGGCAAAAGGTTAAGGAGAAATACATCGATAGTAGAAGAACAGTTTGAGTTTATGCCACGAATGAGGTAGAGACAGTCGAAAAGGCGTACTACACAGTTTATTGACAAGATCTATGGAGATATATGAGAGAAAAATGGGTTCCTGAGAAGTACTTAAGTCTCGTGAAGGATATGTATGAGGAAGTGTACACCAAAGTAAGGACCACTGTCGGATTACCCGAAAGTTTTCCAGCGACGGTTGGTTTTGCATCAAGGCTCTTTACTGAGTTCTTACTTGTTTAATCTTGTTTTGGATGTACTATCAGAGAAAATGAGGGAATGGCTTCTTAGTAATGCTCTTAGCTGATGATATGGTGTAAGAAGAGGAAAGCAGAGAAATATTGACGGAGAAGTTGGAGTGATGAAGGGGGGCTATTAAAAAGGTAAAAATTAAGGTCAACAGGTTGAAAACGGAGTGTATGCGGTTGGGAGGAAGAGGAATGGTTAGGAGCATAGAATTGCTTGGAGAAAAAATAGGACGAATAGGGAAATTTAAATACAGTGGCTCCTACATAACGAAAAATGGGACCCTAGATCAAGAAATTGCCAACAGGATACAAGCTGGTTATTTTACCGAAAGCGAATGAGCGGGGTACCTTGTGGTCAACAATACCGGGGAAGGGCTGAAAGAAAAGATATAACCACAATACACATGGAAAGATATGGTTTATTATGTCGGACGTATAGATAAAAAATCTGTGAAACAAAGGATAGAGCTGATGAAAGATGAGAGAAAGTTGATGAAAGGAGAGGACGAAGGGAAATCTGTAAAACTTGAAGTATCTGAATCTAAAGTAGTAAAAAAGAAAAAGTTATTTTGATTAATCAGCTACTTAAGTATTAGCAGTAATATCACAGTTTAACCACAAACAGTTAGGACACTCTTAGTCGGCGCCTTTGAAGTATAAAAGTATCCAGACGCCATATTGAAAACAGACTAGATCAGTTACGGACTGGCACAAGTGGTTAGAACAGAGACGTGTTTATATTATTTCAAAGTTAGTAAACAAGTTAATTTGAATTAATTACAATCGACAATATATTAATTTAATTTAATTTAATTATTATTATCAAAATGTTTTATTTATTTTATATAAAAATAAAACTTTTCTACCATAGCCAAATAAGAAACTGAAAAACTTAAAATGTTCCTAAACAACAAATTATTTCGTTAGGCAATTTTGTGTGTAAACTAATTTAAATAGACTTACTGTTAACTTCTACAACAATAATTTAACAAAAGTAAACTTACAAAAAACTTTAACAAGTAAAAATGATATCGGAAAAAATAAGAGGGAGTGAATACGTATATATATATATATATATATATATATATATATATATATATATATATATATATATATATATATCTTAATTTCTAAAACAATCTTGACAAAAGTTAAGGGTGGCACTACGTTCCTTACAACTTGCTCTCTTACAGTCATCACATGATTTCATGTTTTTATGTTTCCCACAAAAATGACGTCTTGTTTGCTTAGCAGGTTGTCGATTTGAAAGTTCCTCAGTTGGGTTTCTTGAACTCTTGTCTTGATCTGTTCCAAGAATTTTTATGATTGTGGTTTTTAAATCATTATTAGAGAGCTGTTTCATATCTTTTCTTCTTTTCAGATATTCATTCAAAAGACTTTAACCGAGTTATATCGTGAAATGTTTTTGAGACAAAGAACATTGACTATTTGCGCTTTTATAAAGAACATATGCATTTTTTCTTGTTACATGTTAAATTACATAAAAGACAGCCAGAGGACATCTTTTTTATTGTAAGTTTTTTACCTGGCTTTTTAGATTGCATTTACTACAGTTTCTAGTAGAATGGTTGTGAATTTAAGATTTTTTTAGTAGCAATGGTACTTGTTTCTTTTTTAAAGTATTTCATACAGTTCTAGCAGTAATACCAGTTTCTTTTGAAATTAGAACGTGCTGTTACAAGGAAAATTGATTTCAGTTAGACTACTTACGGCAGTTTTAGGCTGTTCCTGTTCTTCATTAATTGCACGAGCTGGTTAATTTTCAAATTTAAAAATAATGTTGTGAATTGCAGATTTTGATGGCATAGGGCTTTCGAATGAAAACGAAAACGTAGTGATTACATCGTTGGCCCTACTTCCAGAATAATATCATTTAATAATTTGAATTTTATGTTCTGTTGTAAAGGTTACCATTTTCCTAACTGGAAATATCAATTCCTTTATTTTTTTGCGAATAAAATAATAATTAGTATTTATTTATTTATTAACGTTTTTTTAGACTTAATTAAACGAAAAATAAAACTTGACGATAAAGATATAAACAAAAAAATCACGACAGATGACTCGACTACACGTCACATTAATACCAGTCGGGTGTCACTAGCGTTCGGTCTGTTTTCAATATGGCGATATGGCCTGCGCTAAATGATGCGCGTACTTTTTCCCGCCTGTCGAGTGTCCATGATACTATTTCTTTTTTATACTATGGTAATATCCACAACATTATTGAGATCCCACTTTCTAGGTTTCACTCATTTCATAAATTAATAAAACTATTTGTGCCAATATTATTTTATATTTACGGTTATGATATACAAATGCAGAATTGGTTCGAGTATTGTCCTCTTGTTTACACCATTTCTCTTCATGCCTTTCGTAATACCAAATAAACAAAAAAATATATAGATCATATTCGAATGTAGTTACTTCGGTCTATGACTTCTATCAGCGCTTAAACAGCTCGGGCTGTAAAAATGTTATCCTAGAACGACGAAACTTTAAGCTTCAAGATTCACCTCCTTTGTACTGGAGATACCCTTTTTTTTTCAAATGAATTTAGGCATCAAATCATATCTTATTTTAAAGATCTGGTAAATTTGTATTGAATTATATTGTTTTGCGTTTGATACGAACCTCCATTGTTAATGTATTAATCGTTGTTTAAAATTGGCTCTTGTATTTTTTCTATATTAACCATTATCTTGTTAAAAAGTGGAAATTTATTGAATGCCTTTTACCTCTTAAAACCAATCATAACGTCTATATTTTGCTTGTATCAATTTTAAATTTTTCCGGACATATCAAAAACTATATTAAAACAAAATTTGCAATATCGATAAGAAACTAAAGCGAAAACGACACTGTTTTCTGTCTTTTTGAGATGTACAAAATGTGTAAAAGATTCACAAATTTTAGCAAGTGTAATTTATCAAATCCGTAGCAAAGTTCTTGCTGAAATTTGTAAATCGTTTACGCGTTTCGTATAGCTCAAAGAGACAGATAACGACAGTCATTTTCGGGTTTAAGGCTACCAAAATAGGTGGCGCTTTTTGCAGCTTACACTAGAATAGTGGAAATAGCAGGACACATTCGCTGGCTTTCCGTGTTTGAGTTTCGATCTACCAGCCTGTCTGAAAAGGAAGGGCATACATAAATTACATTAGGTGATGAGATAGCCTTTTATAGGGATTTCGAGTTCCAAAACACGAAGAAATTTATTCAAAAACGGGTAAGAAGAAAAGGAAAGCACATGACGCCACAAAGCACAGAGTTATGGGTACAGAGTTGGAGTCATATATTATTCCCTCCGAAGGAAAGGCTAAAGCAAATATTATAAAGGCATCTACCAAAGCTCCTCCAAAGAAAGACTGGCGAAGGACGTACGAGGAGTTCATAGCAGCTATCAGAGCAGCGAAAAAAGCTCAAGCTCATCTGTCCAAAGGAGGAAAGCTATCAGATCTCCCACCGCCTCCACCATCGACAAATCTAGACTATGTCCAATGCCCACATTGTAATAGAAGATTTAACGAAGACGCTGCCGAAAGTCATATTACCAATTGTGCAGATTACCAATTTAATAAACCAAAACCTGGTGCATCTAAATTAAAATAATTTTGGTCTTGAGAAAAACAATTATTTTGACGACGTTTAGGCAAGGTCGCACTTGCCATTTTCAAGTCAGGTAGTGACGATAACTTATAAAATTAGTTCATTCCTAATAGTAATAAATCAATTTAACTCAAGACTAATTAAAGTTTTTTTTAAATCGTTTGTGTATTTTTTTAAGTTCTTATATTAAGCCGTTTGTTTTTCTTTTGACACGAAATGGTTTTTGCTTATTTAAACAAATATATTATTTATGAGAGAATTCGAAAAATTTTGTGTTGGTCAGATTAATACTTTCCAAAATTTAAATGTAAAATTTGATTAACATTCCAAATAAAGTCCGAGCAAAACCCAAAAATCGGCTTACAAAAGGAGTAAAAAGCCACAAAAATCTGATTAAATATTTTAATATCCTCCGCGAGGACTGTACGAGAAAAAACGCCTGCCTAATCCTCACTGGATATTATCGCAGCTCAAACAAGACGAGAAAAATTTCATTAAACAAGCCACAATATTTTCTCATTTTAAACGCCCTTTTAATTTTTAAAAAGGCAAGAAACTTCTAGCTCTGAAAAAATTCAAAAGTCAACAAGTGCTCTCTGCCACCGGATCCTTAAATAGAGGTTTAATTACTGAGACTCATGAAATCATAAAACACAAAACTGTTCCGTGACCGCATAATAGTGCTAGTTAGATGGAAGAATGGGAGAGAATGGGAAAAACAGAGTAAAAGGAAAATTGTGGAATAGATGGTTCCCTAGTGAGTTTATTATTCTTCTCGAAAATGTGGGTATCTATGCTTTGTATAGAGCAAACAAATAACTGAGAATTCTCTTTTGACACTTTATAAAAAGTTGTATAAGGAATACAATCCGCCATTTAACTCAAGGGAATATAAACCTAAGTTTTAAGGTATAATCATATCTATTTTTCCATGAAAATTTGAAATATAGTATACATCTACAGTCAGTATATACAGGGTGGTTCTTATGTATTTTTACGAAAAAAAAAACACTACATTCTACAGTTTAAAATAGTACGATTTAAGCCAGCATGCTTTAATAAAATGTTGATATTAAGAAAGATACAGGGTGTTAAAGTAGAAATTTAAAATTATATTTTTCGCTATGACTTTTATGTTTGTAAACATTGACGTATAAAAATTTACAACTGTATATCTGTGGATAAGCATAATTAATAGTTTATTCTTATAAAAACAACCCAAACATAGTAGTGTAACATTACAAAATCCTTTATTATGGCTGCTACATGTCTTATTGAAGCGAAGCTTCTATGTTCTTCTTTAGGTGCCGTGTCATATCCAGACCGTGTCATATCAATGTCATGAAACCTTTCTCTATTCCTTCTATAATGGCGTTGTATACCCTTCTCTAGAGTAAAATGCTGAGGTAACTGTCACAGAAGAACTGTCATGAGACGGCGTCACGAGTAGCGTCACGACATAACGGACTTCAATTCGTTTCTAGTCATCATATATTCTGTAACATTAGTTGTTAATAATATGTTTTTAAATTATGATCAAATTCTATTTTTAAATATCTTATTTATTTTATATTTAATTTAATTTAATATTGCCAACCCATATAACTTTAATAGATTTGGAAAAAGCATTTGACAGTGTGCCGATCTCCCAACTATGGATAGAAATGGGTATCATGAAAATAAACCCAATTCTTATTAACGCCACTCAAAAATACTACGAACAAAACTTTGCAAGAATTAAAATGAGACAAGAAGTCACCTCTACTTTTTGAACAACAAAGGGACTAAGACAAGGCTGCTGTCTGTCAACCACCCTATTTAAAATATATTTGGACGGATTCTTAGTAAAATGGGTAAAAAAATGTAGAAACATGGGAATAACGGTGGAAGAAAACACGATATATACACTTTTTTGCGGATGACCAGGTAGTAATTGCCGAAGACAGCTACGATCTTAGCTATATGATATGAAAACTGCAAGAAGAATATGAAGCGGCAGGTCTAAACATGAATATGACAAAATGTGAATATTTCTCAGTGGGGACAGATGAAATATGTGACCTAGTCTTGGAAGACGACAAAATCAAAGGCGTGCAATCCTGCAAATATTTGGGGGTCATTTTCAACAAGAGGGGACATAAACACTCTTCTCTGTCAAAAAACAATTCGACGAGAAACCAACAAATACATTTACGGTAGTATAGTCTAAAGTATTACACTATACGGTTCGGAAGTATGGGACGTCATCAAAGCTAATAGAAACAAACTTATGATGATAGAAATGGATTATCTGAGACGACGCTTTGGTAGATCGAAGCTGGAGAGAGTTAGAAACGAACAAATAAGAATCGAAATGAAAATGAAGCGAAATATCAATGATGGCATAGAAAGAAAACAATTACTCTGGTTCGGATATGCCAAAAGGTACAGATGGCCTAGAAAAGTATTGGAATGGATCCCTCCTGAAAGAAAAAAGAGAGGACGACCACGGAGAAGTTGGCGCCACGCGATATTGATGAAGCAATGGTCGCAAGAGACTTAGAAGAGGCAACTGCATATAAAAGATGGAAATTGGGGGCGGAGAAGCGGTGACAGCCGTAATCAATCCGTTATATATATATATATATATATATATATATATATATATATATATATATATATATATATATATATATATATATATATATATATATATGTAAATTGCCAATGTAAAATCTACTGTTTCTTTTTGTAAAATTACTTAAGGACCACCCTGTATTTTATTTAGGATACAGTATGTTTACAAATATTCAAAGTATATGGATCAATGTATTATTATATTATTATTAATATGAGGAAAAAGTTCTTCATAAAAATTCTTTGATAATAGGTATCTAAAACTGAACATTTTACCATGAAAAAATCCATTAATGAAAATGGATCTTGTGGAGATTCTTAAATATATAATAAATATAAAATAATTAATTCTGTAGAACCATCTAAACAATTGTAATTTAATAAGGCTACGGAATCGTTACTGAGTCATACTACTAGTCATAAGTTTTTTGATGACCTAATAAGATACAGGAACACTTATATCTCATCTCCAATTATATATTTAATCAAGATTTAAACATGTGTAATGATTTTGCTTTATAGTAAGTTTCATTTATTCATCACCAATTTAAAACTATTAAAAGAAAATATTACAAAAGTGTTGTTTTGTTTGTCGCAGAGAAAATATAGTGTGTCATAGTCTAGGCACCAGTAGGCGAAACTAGTTTGTCCCGAAATCGGGTTTGACCGATAACATATGTTTACATTACCAACCTAATAAAAGTTTAATTTAAAAAGCAAAATTTAAAAATTTAAAAAAATATGGTAAAATTAATACCAAAGTCTAAATTTATGTTTTAAGTGATTTTTAATATGTCAAGTGTGTCTTTAAAAACGGAAGTTCAAATTATCGTATTTCGCTGTAGAATTAACTATTCACTTTTGCTTTTTTTGGTTAATTTACAAAAGCTTCTATATGTTGAAAAGTACATAATCTTAGAGAGTAATCTTCTCCTGAATTTAAAGTATACCACAAAAGATAGTTCGGTATACGAAACAAACTTTATTAGTGAAGCTGTATATCGAAGTTATATGAGAATACCGTACAACTGGAGAATATAAAATAGAAGTAGGACAGAGCTGTTACGTACAGAATGGGTTATTCAAATTCAAAAGGTGTTGGTATTCAGCGAGAATTTACTTCCTACAGAAATTTAGTGTTCTCGTCTGAAAGAGCAACGGGTAGCGACACGTTATCGAAACAAGCATGAATTACTTGACGACTGACTGTTGTCTGGTAGAGGTGTTTTCACTCGGATCAGATAAAGATCCGGATATATCAAGCTTAAAAAATCATAGTTGTGTAAAACTATGTAAAACAATATTTACTATTCTATGTTTATATAAAAATGTAGTAATACTTAGTAAACATTTGTTCTTGAACTTCTGTCTCAACATGACAAAACCTGATAGTCCTATACATAATATACTTACATCATTATCTTGGAAAATTTTATTCTTCTATTAAATTGTATGTAAAAGTTTCTGCATGTAGTTTGTTTTTATTGACTATTAACACTACATTTTATATCCTTTAATTATATATTGAAGCGAAGCTTCTATACTGCTCTTGTATTACTTTTAATGCTTAGAAGCTCTTTAGTAAAGCGCTGTAAACAATTGGAAGAGTCCATTTTTCAAAGAGGAGAGTCCGTTTATATAAAACAGGTAAACTTTTTAATTTTATCAAAAGGTAATATCCTATAACAAGGATATTAAGTAACAGCGGTTTGACGTAATTCTTAAATAATATTTTTTTGTTTATGAGAATCATCGATAGATTCACCACGTGTTTATGAAAATTACACATGTATTTAAAGTAATAAATAAGTTATAAAATTACTTTAATAAACTCGATGTACCGATGTTCAGTTCCGGTACAGTCTGAGTAAATCTTCCAGCCTGTTGCTTTCGCCACTATTTCTTGTGTCGCCATGGTCACGGCGATGTACGTACGCGTACCTCTCCTAACAAAGATAGGCTCCACACAGTCCACACCAGTGTTCAGTACCACTAGGTCTAGAGTACCTATCCAGTCAGTCAGTATCCTGCCGTGAGCGTCAGCGATATGAGATTCCCACTTCGCTGATTTTACGTTAAACTATCCGAGCACTACGCATTCTCCTACTGTGTTTCCCACTTCCTGCATAATCTCCTCCATCTTCATGTCGTACTCGGCCACCGTTACGTTTGGAGAAATATAATAGCAGACCAGCCGCACCCCCACCATCCGAGCAATCACATATCCTTTTTTGGCATAATTTCATACACTCGCAGCTTCCTATTTCAGCTTTGTAGAGCAGCCTTCCCGGTCGTATCTACAAACCATCCTCTTCTCCT